GGTCACTGTACTTTCCCAACCTTCCCGCCCACAACCCCGGCTGCAGAAAAGGCAGAGAGGCCTCGCTCGCAAGAAGCCGATAAAAAAAAAATAGGGGGAGAGAGAGAAATAAAAAACAAGCGTGTTTTTTTTATTGCTTTTTCCGCGTGTTTTTTTTTTTTCGTCCATAATAAAGGCAGTAAAGGCCAAGCACGCATCTCAGCCCGCCCCCCCCCCGCTTGGGCAGTTAGCCCCTGTTTGGGCGGCGCGGCTGCAACATACCCGCCTGGTTGCCCCGCTGGCTCCGCGCCGCACCCTGGACTGACGGCAGGGAGTCGCTGCGACGCACCGAACGGTCCCGGCTGTAGGCACGCTCGCGACTTCCGGTGCGAAAGGCGTTGGAGGCGCTTCTCGGAATCGTCGGGTAGCGCGACTGCAGTCCAAGTGGCTTCGCCTCAGATGGGACAGGAATAAACTCAGCCCCAACGCCCTTCGGCACATAGACGAGAAGGAGACAGGGACAAGTTCCGGGGCCACACTTGCCTGCACAAACCATTACGACCGAGTAGCGACCGCCCTGTGAAGCACGGAAAATAAGCGCCTGTTCACGGGCATTGCTAGGAGCTGCGGTGCTCGCTACCTTGACACCGCAATCATTATAAACATGAAACAACACCGATTCCTCCGCCAGAATATCTCCCCGTTTCACTACCGCCGGGTCACTCACGTGCGTTTGGCGGAGCAACAGATGCACGTCGCAGGAGTCATTTAGCAAGAAGTCGACACGTGTCCCATCCTCCTTGCCAGGAGAAAGTGCCACGTTTGTCACCAGCGGCTCACGCCTGAGACCGGCGTTACGCAACGGGGTCAGCGTCACGTTAGCCATACCAGGATAGACAGAAACGTGAAACTTGCCATGACAGCCACGCTTCATGGTGTACGGCACAAGGTAGCACGTCGTGTTGGGTGGAAGCTCCATTTCCGAGCACACCTCCCTCGCATCCAGCATCATGCCCTTTTGAATGAAGCGGTGCGTGTTATTCGTGATGAGCGGGGTCGGTGGTGTCTTCGCCTGTACGGGTTGCATCAAAACCAAACCTGTCTGGTGATAGTGATTCAAACCGTCACTGTCTGTATAGGATGGCGCTTGGTGTCGCAACTCGGCCAGGATCCGCACCGGACGCGTCGATTTATTCTCCACCAAATAAATCGGATTGCTTCGGAAGGACGTGAACTTCGGGTTACCCCCTGCGGTGTACTCATTCCATTCCCCTGAAGAACTCAGTCGGTCGCCGCAGTTAATGTGGCAGCGCTGCATGCTCGAGAAGTTATTCAAAAACGTCGGAAGAGGCAGGAACAAATGCTCCTCACGGGACGGATCGAAGCCACACACGTGCCGCAGCGCCTCATCCCAGCGTGGGTCCTCGCGGTTGAGCGGGCCGGTGTAGGTCGGCGCGTCAAAGTAGCAGTTGTGCAGCCTCACCACAATGTCGGCCGGATCATTTGACTCCCCAACCGTTGGAATGACTGCCAGGAGGGCGTAGCTGCACACCGGGTGAATGCCGTCCCCGGCATCCACGTTAGACATGCACGTAATGACGTCGCCACGCTCGAGGTCCTTCGCCACACCGGCCCAGAACTTCACGGACTTGAAATCGCCGGTGTTGGCGGCCTCCGCCAGCCTCTCCTCAAACGGAATGTGCGTCACCGGGCGGCCTGTCAGGTCCCGCAGCGTTTCATGTGGTGTGCACTGGTCAAGCCGGGAGTACCCACCAACAAACTTCGCGTAGGCCTTCTCCAGCAGGAGCGGATACCACGACCGCTTTGGAACCCGTGTAAACTTCGGCTCCATGTTTGCATCCACAGGAACACGGTCGTCAATGTCCACCGGCACA